CAAAATTGCCACCTTAACATCTGTCACTGAGTGATTAGAGAGGTTCTAAGTGTTCTCCTACTGGTTTTTGAATGTTATGATTTCTGGTGTCAGATTTGTGTCCGTTTATTCTTTTGCATCGAGACTGTCCGGTTTGGCCAATGTACATGGTAGAGGGGCATTGCTGGCACATGATGGCATATATCACATTGGTAGATGTGCAGGTGAACGAGCCCCTGATGGCATGGCTGATGTGATTAGGTCCTATGATGGTGTCACTTGAATAGATATGTGAAAAGAGTTGGCAGCGGGGTTTGTTGCAAGGATAGGTTCCTGGGTTCGTGTTTTTGTTGTATGGTGTGTGGTTGCTGGTGTGTATTTGCTTCAGGTTGGGGGGCTGTCTGTAAGCGAAGACAGGTCTGTCTCCCAAGATCTGTGAGAATGAGGGATCATCTTTCAGGATAGGTTGTAGATCTTTGATGATGCGCTGGAGAGGTTTTAGTTGGGGGCTGAAGGTGACGGCTAGTGGCATTCTGTTATTTTCTTTATTGGGCCTGTCCTGTAGTAGGTGACTTCTGGCTCTGTCAATCTGTTTTTTCACTTCAGCAGGTGGGTACTGTAGTTTTAAGAATGCTTGATAGAGATCTTGTAGGTGTTTGTCTCTGTCTGAGAGATTGGAACAAATGCGGTTGTATCTTAGAGCTTGGCTGTAGACAATGGATCGTGTGGTGTGTCCTGGATGGAAGCTGGAGGCATGTAGTTAAGTATAGCAGTCACTAGGTTTCTGGTATAGGTGATGTTTATATGACCATCGCTTATTAGCATAATAGTGTCTAGGAAACTTTGTGAGGAGTTGTGTATATATACACACTAAAAGCTATGTTGTCTAGGCCGTGTAGTTAAAGACAGGTCACTCAAAGGCAGCGTATCTTGGGACTAACTTCTCCAAACAGGAGGTGGGAGACACTTAATGTCCTGGTGGACCATTGTGTGTCTTGGAATAGAAGACTATTAGCATACCGAGTCAAATGCTAAAAAAGAGCTTGCAGCCACTTCAGAAGGAAATGAACAGGAAGAGATAAACAGTGAGCAGGGAACATGATTTTCAGATGAGCATCAAAGGGCTAGTCTGGTATATCAGGGGTGTAGAACCCCTTAGGTATCATTCAGTCTGTGAGGACAAGCTACCAGGGGGTTGGAGTTTATAAAGGAATCTTAGCCAGTCTGGTTGAAAACACTGAGAAAAGGACTTGGATAAGCAAGCCTGTAGGAGATAGGGAAATGACTTCTCAGTTGAGTTAAGGTTCTAGCAAACATTATGATGTTTTATATGTAACTGTTTGTTTCCAATATTCTTACTTATTTGAATCTCTGTTCTTTGAGAACAAACATTGTTTTCACTGTACCTAGAAGTACTGCAGGCTAAGCGAAGCAGTGATCCAGACCTGACTCATGTAAGCTGGTGTGTGCGCTATTCCTTTAGGAACAGTGGATCTGAGAGCTCTGGGAGTGTTCAGTGGATCAGGGGCTGGGCACTCCTGATAACGCTTGGAGGACTCGGGTTGGCGTGTGCCTACAGCTTTTCTGTATGGAGAGCGTGAGGCCTGGCAGACTTGTGTTGCCAGAGACTGCTGGTTTCAGGGAGCTGACTCACAGCAGGCACAGACAAGACTCCCTCACACTCAGCGCAGATAGTGTCAAGGTACCGTACAGCCCTGGGAAGCGTCACAGCTCTGGGAAGTATCACAGGCCGTCACCCCAAGTTTAACCTCACTTGCCAAACGGGGCTAGTGAAGTTAAATCCAAGTGACAATCAGATGGGTGAGGGCAGTTGTTCCTACATGGTGGTGTGGACTGTGTTTAAAGGGTCTTAGATGCAATCTGATCCTCTGTGATACCTGAGGTGTCTGCCGATGAATTGCCACCCCTTGCTGGCCATGGGAGGGAGCCCTCTGTGCCCACCTGGTGAAACTCTCCCCAGCCACCAGCTGCTTGGCAACACAACCTCTGCTCTGGGCTCCAAAGCTGGCTAGTAATTAGCACACCCCATTTTGTTACACTCAACCAGTCCCCTCTCTTCTGGGCATCCACAACGCTGCTGCTTCTGCAGAGACAGTGCACCCCAGTTCACTGGCTGCACCTCAAGGCATCATTCTCCTTAGCACCAGGCACTGAGTAAGGTTTATAGTAAAATGGAATTGAAGTTTATTGAACAGAGAATGAGGTAAAGTTTTAAATCTAAGCAAGTAGAAGGATGTAGAAATATCAGGTTACACGTAAAAGAAAAGCATCCAGGCAACCTACAACCTATGCTTTGTCTAGTCAGGTATTTTCCAGAAGTTTCTTGTGGTGGGATCCACTTTCCATGAGACACCCCTGCTGACATAGTCCCCTCCTGTAACAGATAAGTCACTTGGGACCAACCTTTTGTATACAATACTCCACTATTGTTTCCTGGCCCAGAAGCCCCTTCTTCCAAGAACACTCGTGGGGTCCTTTTGTCCTTGTAAGTCTCCACCCTGCATCTATTCCAGCCAGTAAACCAAGGCTGTCTCTACAGCTGTTTGTTGTTCTTACGTTGATTGGGTCAGTGCTCCGGCTCCCCCTTCTCATATGGTAGGTTTCACTCATAACAATTCTGGAACCCAATGTCCTCCTACATGCTACAAACATCTCACAATAGCTGTCACTATCAGCTAGACCGTAGCTTTTGCACAACCACCTTTGGTGGAATATTGAGAAAGTGGTTGGACACGGATGTCTCTGCCAAGGCATGTCTGTGTTGTACCCTCCTCATCCAGTGTTTAAAGGCAGATGATTGGACGCAACTGAGAATCCTTGTTTCTGCTCAGCCATCAGCAGAACCAAAGTCACTGTGTCCACTTTCCTCTTAATAAAAGCTTTCTTGTTACACACAGGCTCACCACTTGTGAATGGGGAAGTATTGCCTCTTAGACGTGCACAGTGGTGGGGTTTAGTTTCCCCAGTTTTCTGGGTGGGTGCACGAGCCACTTTTATATTGTATTGTTAAAAGGAACCCCTCGACACTGAACCTCACCTTTGCTGCTGACACCACCTGGCTACGAGGACCAGTGTCCAGTTTTGGTATGGAACACCCGCTCGAAAAGGGATCCTGGCTCCAGGTAGAGAAAGAGCCCTGGGACCAGAGAATGATGGCAGACAGATCAAAGTGCAATGTGGACCCAGACACTTCTTCACCAGTAAGCCTGGGCCCAGGTAGGAGGCCAGGGGCAAAAGCAGTGGTCCTCTGTGGGAGGAGAAATGAAGGACGCCTGTTTCATGGGTTCCGTTATGAGCACTAGAGAACTATCAGAGCGACTAGTAGCCGCAGAATGCAAGATACAGCTGATTCCGTGAGAAAAAAGGATCTGGCTGCGGAACATCAGGCCACGCAGGAAGAGAGGGTGACTGATTCTCTGGTCAGTGAACGTGAGGGAGAACTCGAGACTCTGGTTGCAGAGACCTCGAAGCCCTGGGGAGGAGGAAGTTAGGTGGACTGTGCCCTGGGGATGATGTGAGTTTTGAAGTTGGCTTTAAGGATGGAGGGAACACCGCTGTGCATGAATTTATATGTAGACGCTTATATGGTGTTTTGGTTTGGGGGCGAGGTGAGAGCAGCCTCCCATGGGGCAGAAAGAGCCTGCCTGTGAAAGAGGCAGGGGGAGGTATGTCACAGAGGGACTGGGCCCTGAAACTGAAGGAGGTCCAGCTCCCATGTGTCAGAACAAATGCTCCCAGTTCGGCCAATTAAGGGGGTGAGGCTGTACCTGGGGCTATAAGGGTCAGAGACACCCCCACTGAGAGGGAACTGGCTGGGAGAGAGCTAGAAAGCAGGACTGCCAGAGTCCCCTGAGAGGGGAGGCAGTGAGCCACTAAATGACATCTGAGCAGAGAAACTTTCTAAGTTTGGACAAAAAGCCTGCCTAAAAGAGACCATGCGTATGGCTGAGAGCATGTAGCAAGCTGGGAGAGCCCAACTTCATGAAGCTACCTTTCCCCTGACATCTTCCCTAATGCAATGAGTGCATCAGTGAAAAATATGGGGACACTATGAAACAAATTGAATTTAATACTAAAGGTCTCTAACCCAGGCTACTGTACTAATAGTCATTTTCAGATTTAGTTCATTACAACCTCTTTTTAACCTAAGGATTCTGCTAGTGCAGAGTTTGTTTGCTGCAGAATCTAGGTCCAATGAGCTGTGCAGCACATGAACCCCTGACAATTGCTAGCTCTACACAAATTGTGTCTGTGCTCTTACATCACCCTATACTTTTTGTAGGGAAAGAAGAGAAGGAAAAGCTAAGCAAAAGAGACATTGAGCTTGTCTAGACTAGAAAAGCTTCCCAGAAGCTAACCCATTTTAAGACTGGCTCCACTGAAGTCACTGAACTATCTGGAACACTGTTGTAGGCAAGAGAAAGCCACTTGGACCTTCTAAGTAACTGAGCTGATTGTTAAAAAAAAAAAAAAAATAGCTCCAGACACTCCTCTGTCCTGGGGATATTGCTCCAAAGCAGATAAGGCCAGTATATAAAGGGCAAGTGCAAGGAAATGGGCTAAGAGTAGAATTGGCCAAAAAAACCCCAAACAAAAAAACACACCCCCAGTAAATACACATGAAGCAGATTGTTCTAGATGTATACCATACACACACTACAGTCTTGCAAGAAATTATCACAGACTAGGGTTGAGGTTCAGCAGTTATGCCAAAGAAAAATGCAAATTGCTAAGTTACATTTACTTATGATAATCAATTTTTAATTCTTTAGTAATTAGCATTTAAGCACACTAAGAATGCACGTGTCTTTAAGAGACTTTTAAGGGTGTGGTTACTACTGTATAAATAGATTTCTTACGCCAATTTATTTGGACTTAAAGTTAAAATCTAAAATATGGTGCCCTGATGTCTCACTAGACAGTGCAGACTTATGAAGATAATCTAGTTATTTCTATTAAGGAACAGAAAGGGAAATACAATCATTGAAGGCAAATCTCACCATTTCCATATCCCAGGGTTCAGAGGATAAGGGGAGTCCTTTCCATGTGCCTGGTCCAGGTGTCAGTCATCGTTGACCTGTGTCACCCCGCCTCAGTGGGTCACAACTGAGAATACCTAATTCAGGACAAGCTGCTGAGAAAAAGGGCAGACACACCCCAAAACCGGTGGTTATTCTTCCATGAGATATATCAAATCAGCAACAAAAGTAAACATCTGTCTCACCGCACTGGCTAACAAGAAGTCAGAAATACAGCCTCCTTAAGAATTTCAGTCCTGGATGCAACACCCAGACACTAGACTCAATGATGAATGGTTATTTAAAACCAATTTCATCGAACAAAGGTGTTCTTCTGATCCCAAAGGACCAGCCGCATACCCAGGTCAATATATAACTCAGGTCTTAACCAATAATCATGCAGTTGCCAATCCTTTAGTATCTAAAGGTTTATTTATAAAAAGAAAGAAAGATCAGAGTTAAAATTGGTTAAAGAAATCAAATATATATAATAAATACAAAGTTCTTGGATCAGTCTTGTAGCCGTGATGGAATAAACTGCTGGCTTATGTCTATGGTTGCTTCCAAATCATTGGAAGGTCCTCAGTCCCTTGGTTAGAATGCTCCCATTTGTATACATCCATAGACAAGAGGTTTGAGCAGGAAAGAGGCAAAATGGAGATGTTTCCAGCACCTTGTATACCTTCTGCCAAGTGACGGGAAACCCATTGTTCTCACTGGTGAAAAATACAGGTAACTAACAACATGATGGTGTTTGGAATCACGTGGGAATCACTGTATTCGCAAAAAGAATAGGAGTACTTATGGCACCTTAGAGACTAACACATTTATTTAACTCTAAGGTGCCACAAGTACTCCTGTTCTTTTTGCGGATACAGACTAACACGGCTGCTACTCTGAAACATGTCCATGCAAGTTTCCCTTAGTCACAGTAGAAGCCATCACTCATACTCCAGTTAGAACATTCACAGGAAAGTCCATTAAGTGTAGATAGGCATCTCCCCTGGTCCATTATGAGTCAAGTGTTCTTTTATGGGCCATTCAACTTGAATTGTTCCTTCACAATGTGCTGGGTAAATACCTTGTGGGTGCTACCCAGAAGCAAACACATTTGAAATACAGGTACATAGTTAATAGTCATAACTTCAGATACAAAAATGAAACATGCATACAAATAGCATAATCATATTCAGCAAATCATAACTTTTCCTTAGACCCTTACTTGACATATTTTGTCCAAGATTTGTTGTAATGATATAACAGTGGTAGCAACAATGATCTACATGGGCATATTTTAATTTTAATGTCACAAACTGCCATTGCTTGTTGGGTACAGTCAACTCTCCAGTTTTATACACTCTAACTTCAGCGCTCACTGGAGAACTGGACACATTTCTACTGGGCACATGCCAAATGAGTACTCAGATTTCAGCTTCCATCGTTATTTAATAGATGGCATTGCTGCATAACAAATGTATTCAATCCATTTCTTATTGGAGGCTTTTTATGTTTGATTCATTTCAAGGATTGTATTTCACCAATCTCTGCTATCAGTTGGTATCCCCCCATAAAGGGATTTCTCCTAATATAAACCAGGGTATAACTTTGGGATCTCTTTCTACATTTTTCCTTCCTTGTGCCAGACAATTCCTACTACTTCTAGAGGGCAAGAATTATTTACAATGAAAACCATCAAAATCCTTTATAATCTTCTAAATCTGGAGGACATACTGCGTACAGTCTTTGATTGTACATAAGCATTTCATGTTATTCAGGACTTACAATAGGACAAGAGACATTATCCATGTATAGAAAGCAGTATATGTGACTCAAGGTAAACAAATGTGTAGATTCTAATTTGGGGTGAAAGATTAACCATGGTATATTTGATTTACAAGGAAAACAGTGTGTAGTTTATGATTTCGAGTGAAAATGTGGTTTGGATTTCTAGGGGTAAAAGGCAGTTTGCCCCATTTGATTTTCCATCTTACAGCCAGTGATTTCTAGTTGGACTAACTTGCAGCTTCCCCATCCATCTCTTGATCCACTCACCATGTACAGTTGCAACCCCCTTTTCTTTTTGTCCGGTGCTCCGCCAAAAGCCTTATTGCTGTAATTACAGCTGCTGTTTCAACTTCCTCTAGAGCATCTTTTCATTTGCAGACTCCTAAAAAGTTTCAAATGGAGGTGCAGACCCCTTTGGAAATCTTAGAGAGTCTGGGGAACCCCAGGGGTCCGTGGACCACAGGTTTAAAACCACTGCTCTAGGGTTGGTATGGAAGGTGGCATATGGTGACTGCAAACAAGTAGCTGCTATTTTAGCACACTGGAGGCAGTGCAGGAAATTGTTAACCATGAGCAATATCTGTTTTGAAGCTGGTGTGAAAGGCTTCATTAAGGGCAGACACTCCTCCATAGGCACATTCCCCCTTACTTAGAAGCTGGACGCTCCTGACTAATCAACAGGGGGTTCTATCGGGGTCCAAAACTGGTGTGGTGGCTGTTTTGAGTACCACTCTGACTCAGATCCAGCTCTGCAGGGAGAAGATAGAGCTGCCAGGGGTAACCCAGACTGGATCTGTGGGTTGGATCTCAATATCTGCATTTTAGAGAAGTCAGTGGGATGGAGAGTGGGAAGACACCATAGAAGAGGAATCGTAGACTGGAGGCCAAACATCTTTTTGTGAGTTGTATTCAGTGAGCCAAAGGCACTATGCAAGCTTAACAGCCACAGTCATTGTCAGTTTATCATATTTGAAGATGAGTATGTACTCTATGTTCTGGACATTGAAATAATTGGTTATGCTGTACAACTCAATGTTTTATTGCCAGTACTGAGGGTGAACTTAGGTTAAAGCCAAAAATCTCCAACTGTCAGAAGTTCCAATCCCTGTACTTATTTTGTGAAATTTAAATATGTATATTAGTTAGGGTTTAGGCTCTGTGTTATATTGTTTGTTTCAAGGGAAAACAACAACTCTTTATAGTTAGTGATGTTAATCTAGCTAGGACATGTTTTAATGAGTCACCTTTGGAGTGTTATTCAATTAAAAGAAATTTCAAACGGCAAGTTGTGTGCATGTGTAAGTAACTGTCGTATGGTAAAGGCTGGTGCTGGATTCCTAAGAAAAGAAAGGGAATCATATTATAACTTCCACTTTTTAACTTGAGAGAGGTCCTGTAGAAAATCTAGTTGTAGTTTCTCAGGCGGATGTGAATTCATGGTCTGTGCTAGTCAGATAAATGTCTTCTGTAGCACACATATGGTAAATAAAATCAATTTACTTTCCCTTTACATAATGGGTTACTTTGCATAGGAAAGCAGGCTGTCACCCTTGTGTGCTAACTTGGGATATGCCTACACTGGTTTAAAACCCACAACAGCAAATCTCAGAGTCTGCAGATCCACACTCTGGCTACAGCACTGAAAACTGCTGCTCAGACATTGGGCTTGGGCTGGATCCCAGGCTTTGAAATCCAGGAAGGGAGATGGGTTTCAGACTCTAAGCAGCAACATTTACACTGCTGTTTTTAGCGCCATAGTATGAGCCCAAGTCTGTAGACCTGGGCTCTGAGACGTGCTGCCACAGCTTTTAAAATGCAGCATAGATTCTTGACTAGCTAGTTAACAATACTCATTTAGCCATTTTAGTTTCTATTCTCAGGGATAGGAATTCCTGACCATGACTGTGAGTCCTTAAAGTGATTCACATGATGGGAACTATTTTCCTATTGTCTTTACTTCCTAGGTAGATCCTATTTTGGGATAAAACAGGGGGATGGCTTTTCTAATCTTAAAAGTGCCTTAAAGACATGTGTACAGGCTGAATGTTACTTCCACGGGGGTGAAAGTGTGATAAATGTTAGGTATTAAAGAAGTGGAAATTGATGGTCAGAAGTGGCATCTGAGACCCTTTGTCCCAGGGTCCACTCACCATAGGTTGCTCCATGGAAATCAGCTCTTTTCAGGTCTGAAGGCTCCTTCTGCTGCTCACTGCATGCCCTCCTCCCGCACTCTCAGTCCGTCAGAGTACTCCTTCTTTGTGACTTGCCCCTCCTGTCAGGTCACTATGTGTGTTTCCCCCTTCCAGGGAATCAAAGTCTTCCTTTAACAGCAGTCTTAGTCTTTTCATTCACTGCCTCACTTCCCCAGTGGTTGGTAGGGGAACCAAGCCCCACTCTCGATACTGGGTTTCAGCCCAAACGCCCTCCTCCCAGGGAATAACTGAGGACTAATTTCTCGAGCCCCAAATACACTTCCCTTCCCCCAGGAAGTCATTGCAAACTGCTTCCCTGTAGCCCCTTTCTGTTATCAGCTCCCTAGCTTTATAGAACCCCACTTGTTCCTGCATAGGTGAGCTTGCCCTAATTGGGGCTTTCCTCTCAGCCTTAATTCCCCCATCTTGCAGCCTAATAGTTTAATTGGTCCTTCTGACCTTCATTAACCCCTTCAGGGTGAGTCTGGGGAACATACCCTATCACCCCTTTTAAACAGAGTCAACACCACCAAATAGGAAACCTACCCCCACCCACTCTGTGAGATCCTAGGGCACAATCCAGACTAGTGGGGGGCTGTGTCACCCCTGCCCTGCAACCTGGGGTGCCTCACAATGCCTTGCTGTAGTAACTCTCCCCCCCTCCCCCAGGCTGCTCACAAATTATCTTGGTGATGGAGAGGGGAGCTCGAGCTGGGTTGTCCTTGGCATGGTGTGGCCTTCCTCCATACCTTCAAGATAATCATAAGAGCAGCAGGGTGGGAGGAATGTACTGGGGTGGCCCGTATAGCACTGTTCCCGAGGGGGAGACACACGTCTGCCCCATAGCAGAGGCTGAGCTGGGAGTCCAAGGCCAGAGAACTCAGCTATACGCTGGGGTAGTCAAGAATCTGCCCTGGCCAATGATCTCGGGGAGAGACTGGCTGGGTTTCCAAGCCCTGATGCAGGGAAGAGCAGAACAACACTGTAAGGCAAGTGAGGACCAATGGCCGATTGGAAAAGGAATGGAAGGAGCTGAAAGCCCTCGACCATCTTCAGAGCTTATGGGATCAGCTAAAAATCTAAAGAGCTGGAGACATAAGCACCTCCCGGCAGAGAATCAATCAATCAATCGATAGG